AAGCGCTATTTGGCCAATGAATTGGCGTGATGGTATAAGGGCTTCAGACATTCGTCACACCGAAGATGTTCCCAAAGCGATGACGTCATCGCAGCATCTCATTCCCCTACTCAGGGAACCAAGGTTACATACGTAACCGAGATGTTTTATTTAACATGTGGCGTCAGACAAGGCGGTCCCATTTCCCCTTATACCTTTTTTTGTTTTGTACTCAGCTCATGAATATTTATGTTAGATCAAGCCACTTTAAAGGTATATCTGTTGCCGGAAGGGATATTATCATTTCCCAACTAGCAGATGATACTGCAAGTAATCAGTAAGTCATAAGTGCGAATTGTTAAAGACTGTGAGTTACAACATATTGCTAATATTGCAGTGAAGGATTCTGTAACATACTTGGAGATTATCACGAAAGATCAAAAATCTATGTGTATAGATTAATTTTGAATCTTCTTCAGAAGACCAAGGCAAAGTTGAATCACTTAAGAGTTTTGTTGTGTAAAGCAGAGGGACTGTTTCTAAGGAGACGTGTAAAGCTGTTGATACTGCTTTGTTTCATTTTCTGTGGAGGAACAAAACACATTACATTAGGAAATCTACAAAAATGAATACATATGAATCAGCTGGATTGAACTTTCTTGATTCCTGTACTTTAAATAACACCTTTAAAATCAGTTGGATTAAACATTTCATTCTAAACCCAAATTGTTTATGGAATTGTATACCTAGTTTTGTTTTTTCCAAATTAGGTGGTCTTAGATTTCTCTCGATTTGCAATTACAAAGTGGATAAAATTCCTTTAAGCTTATCCTGCTTTCATAAACAAATGTTGCTGGCTTGGTCCCTATTGTATAAACACACCTTTTCTCCCCATAGGTACCTAATTTGAAACAATTACAGTATAATATATAAAAATAAATCTTTATTTTTTGAAAATTGGTTTTTAGCAGGCATGATACGAGTTAGTCAATTATTAAATCAAGAAGGCATGCTACTCACTTATTCTGAGTTTCTAGCTGTCCATGGAATTCCAGTAACACCAAAAGAGTTTTCTATTGTCATGGATGCAATTCCCAGAGGAGTCTTGGCTTTATTCATCAGAGCTAATTCCCAAAACAGTATTACACCCCCCTCTGCATTCGATCTATTTAATATTAATATTGGGAAACTTTGTTTTGCCCCTGGAAGTATAAATGTTAATAAAACCATTCGTTTCTTACTTCGAAAAAAATTATGTTTCAACTCCAACTGTATAATTTATTGGAACAGATTAGTTAAAGGTTTATTTGGACCTTGCCAAATAAATACCTGTTGGTTAATAAAGTGAAGGAAGTAGCCTTTAAAACTTTACACAGATACTACCCAGTAAATAATTTTCTAGTCAAATTTAAAAAATGATATTGATTTGAATGGTTCTTTTTGTAATATGATGACTGAAACTTTGTTTCATTTATTTTGGCATTGCTCCCATGTTAAAAGTTTTTTGGAAAGATTTGACTAGATTTATATTTGATAACATTGACCCCACTTTTCCTTTGTGCTTAGAACATGTTTTATTTGGTTTTACTAATATCCCCTCAAATAATAATAGTTTTAATTTTAGCTAAATTTCATATTCTTAAGTGTAAGTACAGTAAAACAAAGCCTTTATATTTGGTTCTTGAAAAAGAAATTCAAATTTATGTGAAGACAATTTTTTATTTACATAATAAGAAAGCAAGTAAGACTGTCTCCATTTGTGAGTCCTTTAACATATTTACATAATGTTTAGCCCACCCCCCTGGCTGTATTTTGTATACATATTTAGTATTTTATATTTTCAGTAAGTGTTTCGTTTTCATGTGTATTATTGTAGTTCTAACTGTACTTTGACTGTTTATTGAAATTTAATAATAATAAAAAAAAAATCATAATCTGTATTTGTTTTATTTTTGGACTTTATTTTTTAAAAATATGTTTGAAAGTTAATTTGT